TTATATAGTTTTATGTACTTTATCTACCATTATTAACAAAAACTAATTAAATTACTGCATTTGTCAATAACTGGCATTTATTTTGTTTATTATATTTTAATAACTTTCCATCAATGATTTATAATAACAAGTTTACAAATTTAAGCTGCCAGTTGTATTGTTACCCAAGATCCGACATTATTGACCTTGTTGAAACCATTGCCATTGGGTATGCCGCAAAGATAAAATGTGCAGTTCTAAATTTTTCTTAAAAAAAACCCTGAGACAGAGTAAAATAATAAAGAAGGGCGCATTAAATTGGTGCGGAATGCAACTTAATTGGTCAAACGTTATATTTTTATGTCACAGCAATGTCGAAGCCATTCAAGATGCGAAAAAGAACAAGCAGTACGAAGCCTTAGAACAACAACTCAAACTGCTAGTTGAAAGTTATGGCGAGGCAACACAGCAGCTTGGACATCTTAAAGAAAGCGTGGATGAAAGCAAGGACCTGTTGAAGGCCAACATAGAGAAAGAAGAAAACGCGGAAACGGATTTAAGGGAGGAAGATAACGGCGAATGCGGAAAGATTGATCAGGATTACGTTGCCGTTGTTGTTGAAATGCAGGGAATTTTTCAACAATCTGATATTAGGGACGAAGAGCTTGCTAGTTTGGAAAACATTGCAGGTTTGGTCAAGTGTATCCAATATTAACATAGTTACTTTATAATTTTTTAAAAATATTCATCGTAATTTTGTTTCAAATATTCATATTCTCACTATGAATATTCATGTTCCCATCACAAATACTCGTGTATTCCCAGGGGCGCGAACGATCTGTGATTCTGCGCCCGCGTAGGTATAGTACCAAAAACACCAGAAAAATTAAATGGAAGAAGCGACTGGAGTAAATCAATGGAAATCAAGTAAAAATTCGATGTTTCGAGGGAAGGCCCTTCATCGGGAAGTTAGTAGCTGACGAAGGGCCTTCGCTCGAAAGGTTGAAGTTTTACTTGTAGTTTTCATGTAGTTGAATCCCTATCCCTCTCAATTTTCTGGTATTTCATTAAAAAGGGAACATATACTCAGTTCTGAGCCCGATGAGTTTTAAGCCGGAGTAATACGAGCAACAAAATTGCTGCAACTTGCAGCAAAATCTGATTTCAACGTATGTTAAGTAGAAATGTTGACATACGTTGCCTCGTGATTTGTAATGCACGCGTGAACCGATTTTCAATTAACATGCGTTGAAATCCTGCCGATTTTGTTGCAAGTTGCAGCAATTTTGTTGCTCGTATTACTCCACCTTTAGGGGCAGCAATGTTCATCAATTAAATAATATATATATATAGTTGGACAATTCCATTTGTGCATTGATTGCAACAATTTTATTCGTTGCATCGATACTAAAGAATATAATGCATTGTATATTCTTTGCTTGCACATGACGTCACTACGTGTCATTAGGCGCCATCTTGGTTGATTTTAAAGTTTTGTCCAGTCGTTTACATCGAAATAGTTGAGTTACTTTAATATTTTTGGTTTGTTTTGAAAACATCTTACTGTATTATGGATAGTTTACGATTTCTGGCACAATACGACAAAGAATGAAGAATATAGATTTTTAGTTGCCACGTATGTTTTGAAAATCAACCAAGATGGCGTCGATTGCAAACAAGCAATAGCGTTCTTTTTCAGTGACGTTTTTGTATATAGTTTAAAACCTTGGTAATGTTTCTGAGAAGAATTATACAGATTCAAATTTGAGCTAAATTGCTTGACAACATGCAGTTCTCAATTTCAATAGGCATGCAATTCCAGCTTTTAGTTTATGCGTGCAGGGGAGGATGGGAAGTAAGGTATCATATTGCTGATTATGATAAAAAAATAGAAATGGCTGCCGTGTAAACACAGTGTGACAGCTTATACTTGTAAATATTGAAATATTTCGGTTGTTTCGGCAGTTTTTATTGAAATTTTTCAGCATAACTAGCAATATGATACCTTACTTCCCGTCATCCCCTGAGCGCATAAATTAAAAGCTGGAATTGCCTATTCCCATGGATAGCGCAGATTTTCGAAGTGTAGTTTTTGTAAAAAAGGCAACCTGCTGCTCCCGAGCTGTTTGGGTGACGGGGGCATCTCCGGCCCCCTATGTGTTCAAACTTCATATCCAAACTTCTTGATACTGAATAGAGAACCTACTTTTAAACGTGATAAAAATTGCCCAAATTTTTAGGGATTCAACGACAACGTTCCATTGATATTGAGGACAACGAAGGGACTGGAATGGCATCATGTATACGCGGTCTTGTCGCGATAAAAGATAGCCAGATTGAAACACTTACGAGAGAACGAGATGAGCTTAGTGTTCAAATTACAGAGATAAAGAAAATAGAATATCGTCAGCTGTATCAGCTCAGTGAACTGCAAAAGGAAAACAACGAGATTTTGGACAAAATGGAAGCATGTCAAGCGAAATATCGCAAACTGAAGGAGGAAAAAGAAGACATACGACAAAATCTTTTGGTGAAAAACGCCGCGGATAAGATAACCCATTCTTATATTAATAAGTTAAAGGTTGGTGACAACATACAGTATAAAATATAAGAATTATACTAGAGTTTGTCGCGGCTATCCCTCTTCCTGGGCTTCCTGATTGTAACTGGCTGATTATAGAAGCGAAATTTCTAGCCCCGGCAAAAGGTTTTCATGTTTCGTTTAAGTTCCTTCCCATCATAGGCGTACGAATAGGTCCCCCCATTTTTTTTTTTGTCGGGCAGTTTGTACCTAAAAGTCGGGACAGATTGTTCTTAAAAAAAAGGGCAATTGTACACCAAAATTATTGAAGGGAAGAGTGGTGCGCATTAAATAGACCTTATGTATAATGACGTCACAAGGCTTGATGCCCGTGAGGAATGCTGGTCTTGGTAGTCATCGCCCGGGAAAATTAAACAATTCGAAATGGCCACTATCGAAATTTTCCCGGGCGATCGGATTACTAAGACCAGTATTCCTCGCAGGCATCAAGCCTTGTGACGTCATTATGCATAAGGTCTATTGGTGGAAGTGGGGGAGAAATATACGGCGTTTTCAGTTTGTCTTAATGTATGTTTCGAAAATATTTGCCCCCTCGTCGACAGGAATTTTGGGAAATATACCGTTTTGGAGAAAATTTTTTTTTTTGGGGGGGGGGAGTGGCGAGACTTGGGCAAATTCACGAATGTCTGGCAGATTTTCGGCCCTAATTTTTCCCTCCAAATCATCTCCTTATACAGAATCGGGTAACAATACCATCCGGCCCACTCGTTACGATCAACTGGCAGTCACGGTATATACGATTCATATTTTGGCGTGTACAATCGAATCAACACGCCTAAAGAAATTTTGCCATAAACAAAAGTTTATCAGTTTAGTGGTCCGTTTTAAAAGTGTCTATTTTTCTTGATACACCCGGCTTCCAAACAAAGAAGTGCCTGCATACAGTCGCAAAAATTAATCCCAGTTACAAGTGCAGTTATCTTTTGAAACTCTTAAGCGTCAAACGAGGACAAGACGGTTGATGTCTTGATGAGAGTAATTGGCAGTTACGCATTGTCGGTTACAGAAGCAACCATTGAACTATAGCGCAACCTACCTTGTTCCCAGGCTCTTACCTCTTGTGGAGGAAAGACCCTTGGTATGAGCTGGTCACGTGATCTGCTAAAATCTAGCAGATTTTCAATTGATGATTCCCCTTATTACGTTTTCGTAGCGCTTTGCATTGTGGTTATAGTGGTATCACTGATAAAGATAGCAGCCTCGAATGAAAATATTGAATGTCTTCGCGAATATTTTGCTGTTGGCTATCGCCCACGGGACCCTAGCTTTTTTAAAAAGTTCTTGCACGGGTCAGGACAAAAAATAAGCCATCTTGAATATATCAGTGATACAACTATAACCACAATGCAAAGCACCACGAAAACGGGAATCTAGTATTGATGATAATGGTGTTGATAAACTATTTGATACTATATACTTTAATTTATTACTGACTTGCATTTTGTTTTGAAAGTTTGATTTTATTTTAAAGGAATCCAAGGGGAGTAAAAAAAAACCATTACCAGCAGATAATTTAATAAAATACAAGAAAAAACATACTCCGAAGAATAACATCTTGTAAACTCAAGATATGAGCTATAACAAAAGATAACAATTTTGCGGTGATATTTCGACTCTATTTCAAAGTCATTGTCATCCAGAATAAGCTATTTACAAACTTGCTATCATACTATATACATAGAAACAGGAAGAGATGACGTATTAGAAACATTACACTATTGACATACAATGATACTTAAGAAAAGACCACGAGTTCTTTAGACGCTCTTAATCCATTATTAAGCACGGGCTTTCTGTATTTAATATACAGAGCTTCAAGGAATAGGAGAGTAGGGGAGTAGACGAGTAGTTAATTAGAAATCTGCTAGATTTTAGCAGACCAGCTCCTACACAGCTAAAAACGATCAGGTTGTTCCAATCATTGATGAAAACAGGATTGAACATTAATGATGTGCGGCCCACATTGTTCACAGTTGTCAACAATGTTGAACAATATTGTTACACCCGATACAGGCTCAACAATATTGTTCAATATTGTTGACAAGTGTGAACAATGTGGGCCGCACAACATTAGAGACCTTAAGATTGACGTTTACGGCAAACGTCAAACCGCTAGCGAGGTTTTTGATTTTACAACTCTATTATAATAGCTTTTACATCAGTTTTGAAATATGTTAAACTTATTAAACTTGTGCTCTTTAGCAATGATTTAAGAAAGCAAATTAACCACTAGTCATGCCATTCACTAAAGCAGTAAATTAAGATTTGGCGTTTGAATTTGGCGTATAAATTTCATGCTTGAACTGCTACGAGTGCTTGTAGTCGTTAAAGCATGAAATTTATACGCCAAACGTCAACTTCAAACGCCAAATCTTAATTTACTGCTTTAGTGAATGGCATGACTAGTGGTTAATTTGCTTTCTTAAATCATTGCTAAAGAGCCCAAGTTTAATAAGTTTAACATATTTCAAAACTGGTGTAAAAGCAACAATAATAGAGTTGTAAAATCAAAAGCCTCGCTAGCGGTTTGACGTTTGCCGTAAACGTCAATCTTAAGGTCTCTATTGTTCAATCCCGTTAAACAGCAGGCTCATAATTCTTACGCGTGTACCGCAGAATCTTTCCTCCATAAGAGGTAAGAGCCTGGGAACGAGGTTGTTGCAAGAGGTGGCAGTGTAAAGGTAGCGGCGATGACAAGACAGCTGCGGCTGATTGCGAGAGATTCAACCACTGAATAATAAACTATACTATAAGCAGAACTTCTGCTTATAAAGGTGGCTCGATACAGTTTTCAAAAATTCAGGTGTTTAACACTTTGACATGTTCAAACTACGCATTTTTTAGGATTTATTCAGCAGATATTGGGTTTTTTATATATTTTGATAACTCTACTTTCAAATTATATTCGTTTTAGTAACAGATAGTTCATTGCTATGACGACATAAGTGTACGAAATTCACTCCAAAATGGTCTATCGTCTCGTATAGTTGGAAAAAAAGTATGGTGACCCCCAATTTGTTTTCGTGCATTATTTTACTTGGATGAAAAGCTAACAATTAGCAAAATATAAAAAATTCTGTAATGCCATTTTTTTGGAAAATGCGAAAATGTCATATTCTTCGGTAAAAATTTTTTGGCATTACAGTATTAGTTTATTTTTTGTGTGATGAAAGTTTTTAGCGGTGCAATACAGCATGCAAAATTTGAACATAGGTCATCAGACAAAATAAAGAGATATAGCGCATTGTTTTTCTAAAATGGAAAATTCTAATGACGTCAGCAATTGACATAAAACGCTATAGAACACGAGCAACGGCGTGATATGGCGCAAGCAACTGCTCACGTACGTCAGGTCATTTTGGAAGTTCTTTAATTTTGTTAATCAGTTTCCGTGACCTGCGCGTAAAAATGGTCACCAGGTTTTGAGTTCGCGATTCTTGAGCAGGGTTTTTGTGATAACTATATCGAGCCACCTTAAGTGCTTATGTTTTTTCAGGTAGTCGTATCTCTCACAATCCGCAGCTGTATATAATGATTGTTACAAGGGACATTTTAAGCCGAGTAGGTTAACAAAAGTTACTGTTTTAACTATGGTTTATCTGGTATTTAGAATACACTGTAATGGTGTTGGTAAAGCATTAAGTCTGGTTCACTGACACGTATACCTGCGATATGCCAGCGGGCTATGTCGGCAGTTAGCAGTTCAACCAAATAATTCGCAAAAGCCATGTATGCATCAACAGCTGTAAACAATGATAGCACAGGCATATATGTGAACCAGGCTTTAAGAATTAAGAACTGTTAACCAAGATCACGTGACTGCCAACTTCCAGGTATCACTATGCACTCTCACCGAAATTAATATTATCTGATTTCCTTGCTCTCCGCAGAGGCTTTAGTTGGCTATGATTACGATGAGATACACTTCAGCCTCTGCGGAGGAGAGAGATTTCCTTCAGCTTATCAGTTAACAGTCGATAATAAACACTGGTGTAACTAAATAAACTGGCTTTACGTTTTGCAGCATGAGAATGAGCAATACAAAGCCAACTTACAGACACAACAAGAAACATTGAAACAACAGTTTCAAGCAATAAAAGATGAGCTGGATGACAAAATGGAGGCAAAGAATGCGTTACTTCAGACAATGCAAGAGAAGATCTCTCTCTATCAGCGCGAACGAGACGCGTTGAAAAATGAACTGAATTCTCGCCAAAAGAAAGACAACGCTATCAAAGAACAGATAATATCCATTTTCGGTAGTCAGTAATATGCCTGTTTGTGAAAAAGTTAATAAAATAAGACATTGACTACCTCCGCCAAGAGCTTATGTTTTATTCTCGATTTTTGTGTAAGCGTGTGTGCGGGTTTTCAGGGACGTAACGAAGACGTTATGGCGGGTGGGGAAGTGAGATTCTAAATTATGAAAATTACCAGATTTTTAAAATCGTTTTATGTTGCTAAAAGCAGTGTCAGGAATATTCCCCAAGAAAATTTGAATACTTTAGACCCTCCAAATTAAAGCTTGGAAATACACTAAAAGTTGGCATTTTAGCTTGCTTTCACTTTTAACCGCCTTTCCATGTTTGCTTGTCAATGCTCTTACAATTAACTTATTTAGAGAGCCCCCAACACACATACACACACACGCACATACACACACACACACACACACGATCGCTACGACCCTGCGTGTTTGCTTGTCAGCAGGATAACTCAAAAGCTACCAAACAGTCTAAAACCTGGTGCACGTCTGATACCTGATAGCGTAAATTATGCGAAATTATGTGAAAATTTCAAACCTTGTGATCACAGCATGAATTCTATTTAGTTGAGAATTTTGACAAGCGATAAAAATCTGTTGAAAAACACGCCGCGCAAGGAACAAAACGTCCAATCAAAAAATCGAAAATGTCATGAAAACAATTTGATCTTATCCAATTAATTAATAATTTAAATATATGCCTAATCTGCTAGTTTCGCCGGATGAATTGGAGTACTATTAGATTAGTGGTTAATTGGAGTACAGGACCCCATTATTAATTCAAATGAACCTTCGAATAACTCACATCACCACATGCCTAGGGCGCTTTATTCCATTAACACGGCCAGAACGGTCAAATTGTCGAATGGAACACAAAACGTTTGGGCTTGGACCTATCTGACCGGAAAATTTAGAAAAAAATGGAATGAGGTGCATTTTCGCTAGATATTTGAGAAACATAGACCAGCTCTTTCCATTGATACAGAGAAAAAAATTCGGGTCTGACCGGTCAGGCCATTAAATGGAAAGCGCCCCTAGTTACCACTTTTTTATAATATATAAGTAAGAATAGAAGAAAAATAACCAAGCACATGGGTAGTTGTGCCTTGTGCGTCACTAAGTAAATTGCTTTTGTCAACAACGTCGAGTCAGTACATGTCATCGGTGATATCCGATCACAATCCGTTTATTAACTCCAATGATTGTGTAGAACACCAGCGAACGTGTGTAAAGTGTAAAACAAACAGAATTCAGTCAAACTAAAAACACCCGAACATCAGGGTTCAATTGAGCGTCTTTCTCGGAAGGATATGTTCAACATATGTTCAATATCGATTTGGAAAAAGGGATCTAACTTCGGTAAGTTCATTTATTTGTTCAAGACGCACAGACATAACAGACGCATTGTACTGTATTATTGTATTTCCATGCCGTGTGACAATTTGCGCAAACGTTAGTTATTAATCTTGTTCATTTGCATAATATGCGTCTTAAAACTTAACGAACCACGGGTTAGCATTGTTAGCGCATTTTGAGTTTATGGCACGCAATGGCGCGTATCAGTGTATCTTATTCAAACCAACTATTGTTAAGCTTTATTTATATTAAGAGCATAACATCCATCAGATGTATTTTATGCTTATCTTAGTCTGTATTTTGAATACTTTGAAGACATAATAGAAAACAATAGCCGTATAGCCGTCACAATGAAATAACACAAAACTATATAGTATATATACAGAATTGAATTTTGTTTTACAGGAGCGTACAATTTTATACACACATGACTACCGGTCACTGAATGAAATTCCACAAAGGTCTCGAGGCAAGACGTGTATGCTTTGTAATGTTGTACTCTACAGTAATTCTGCAAAGTTTAGACATTTTCCCATTATAAAAGTAGCAACACATCGCGTACATTCCGCCCTGATTCCGGTGGCCATATACAACAATTTTTTCAAAGGTCAATAAGGGCAGATAATTTTTTATTTCTAAAGTACTATTTAAGAAATGTATTTGTATAGCCCATAACGACAAAAACCGTAAGGCAAAGCGCAGATTCAGCATGTGATCGTGTATTTTGTAATCGTGCGTGATTTTTGAGAAGCCAATAAGCGAGTTTCGCAACTCATCAGATAGTCAGTGAGATATTAAATTAAAGGCTGGTCATTCAACACCTTATCTGTTCGTGATTATTTCTGTAATGCGCGAGTCAGATTGAGTGATTGCTCAGTCGTGTTCAGCCCGCATAGATAGTAATCTCGAATCGTTCATCGAGCTTGAAAGTAATGATGATTTAATAAGATAATTAAGTATTTCAAGTGTACATGTAATTTTCGCAACATGCCCGACTTTGATTAAAGACGTATGCCAGATTTTTAGTACACCCATCAGTTAGCGAGGGATTGTTTACATAATATTGATGTTCCAGTTTGTGTTTTTGTCGTGTCTCGGGAAAGGGTCAGAGGTCCTAAATTTGCACATATTCAAATAATTTACTCGTTTCGGCTCCATCGCGCACTATAATTGGTATTATGGTTTTCATCGTTAAAGTGAAATTGAGAACTTAATTGATTTACAAGCCACCTGAATTCCATAAAATCCCAAAAGAAGGAGGTGTTCAGTATGGCAGCAAACCTTTCCGCGGGGATTATTGTAATATGACCCTTGTGCTACGCACGAACTTTGGCTGGTTTTCAGCTCGCGGTTAGATTAAAGTAAAATTATAGATCCAACTGGCAATTTCATGAGTGAATTTCATGATAAACTCGCAGTGAATATCGACACTTTCTACAAAATCTGCTTCATGGAGCATAATTGTATCACGCCTAACAGACGTTTTATTGTTCATTGTTCAATTCAGTCTTGATGCATTACGTGCGCATCCAAATTTAGGGCCTACCTTCACTATTTAATTAATTCCGTATCACGTTATGTTTGTCAGTTTTAATCGCACTGCGGCGACGGGTAAGGATAAAACGCGGATACGGACGGACGGACGGACGGATGGCGGACGGACGGACGGACGGATGGCGGACGGACGGACGGACGGATGGCGGACGGACGGACGGACGGGGGGGACAAGCGGATGGACGGGGGGGATCAAATCCGCGTTTTTTAGGAAATGTAAT